CACTTCCTTGTCTCGGGTGTCTTCACACCACCAGTTTTGAGGGATGCCATCAACGAATTCTTCTAAGGTATGAAACTCTTCATGATGAACTGACACCTCCACACTCTGTTCAGGTTTTATCATCCCAGCTGCTGGTGTAACCTATTTTTGGTTTTGTTTTTTCAAAACAACAACATCAACAACAAGAAAAAAAGTTAAATAATTAGGCAGAAATTGTTTGATACCTACCTCAAGCCATCGGGGAAGTCCGTTGGCTCCTCTTGCGCGATAGTCAAGCTCATCGCCGTCCTCCTTCACGGTGGACTGCCCTTCACAAATTATTCTAAACACGGCCATGTCCTTCACACATTTATTGGTGATACGCAAAATGGATGTGTCCTGATTTTGAAGAATTATGGTGTTGGTGTTGACAGTAGTTTCTGGAACATAGTTTAATTCTCCAAGCATAGACCTGATTTTCTCATTGGATTTTATGACTTCCCCAAACTCTTTTCTCCTTACTGATCTATCAACATGGGCAATTTGTAAAGACAATTTACACCGGACAGGTTTGTGATCACTGTCAGTCACATCCATGCATGCATCATACCTATTTGAAATTTGGACCAAACTTAAGTACAATTGAAACAAGGAAAATAAAATACAATCCCCGGAGAAGAAGAAGACATACTGTAAAATTGATGAGACTATAGGACACTCTAAACCACACTCTGAAACTGGAGATGATCGATTGTCGCGGTATATTATTCGATCACACCAGGCAGGAATTCGTTTCTTCTCACCAGAATCATATCCTGGGGACAAGGATATATTTATTTATTTTACTCGTGTAAGATAAGAGAAGCCAAGAGCTGATATGTTAATGCAGAAATTGAGTTGAAGTGTGTTTTATGAAATAAATACCTCCTAAACCTGCTTGGTGCCTCTCAAACTTGTATGTTGGCGGGAATCGAATGAGTGCCTCACGCATCCCTTGGAAAACTTTCCCAGCTTTCATCTCTGCTCTAAGCTGATCTTTTTCTCTGAGCCAATCAAAGCATCTTTGCGAAACAAAGTCCCTTGCTTCATCATAAGAAATACCAAAAAGTCGATAGTTGAAATCACCCAGAAAAACAACCATATCTGCTTCAGCTAATTCAGGCCTTGCTGCTTCCTCAGAGCTGCTGCTGCTGCTGCTGCTGCTGCCGCCGCTGCCTGAAGCCTAAATAAATCACCAACGTTTTGTTTTAACTCTTAGTCTGAGCTAATAAAGATGAAATTAAATTAATGTTATGTAAAGTGTCGAAATAGAACAAGTAGTACATACATTTGTTGGCCGAGTCATGTTAACAGAAGTTGCGACACCAGCTGCAAGAGAGAGGACCCATGGCAAGCCAGAAGAATAAAGCAGCCAAAATAAATAGGTAGACAAGGCAAGAGAGCAAGACAAAAACAGGTATGGTAGCATACCAGCTGCATTGTTAATTAGAGATGACCGGTTGAAGACCATATTTCGATAAATGTGATCGAAATCAGCATTACGGCGATTCACAGCTTCTAAATGTGCAGCCAAGTGACAGTTCACAAAGCACATTATACGATCATACACTCTGATTCTCAAACCAACACCTCCCTGCATAAGACACCAGAACCATTTTTTCAAAGAATAAGACGCCCGCCGTACTATTAAGAAATTGAGCAGAGACAATCATCAAACTACCTGCATTTTCATTTTATTCTGTTACATAAAACTGTGAATGGAGAAATACAAACCTTATTCCCAATCGCACGACCAAAGCCGCATGGAACTGCTCCAGCATCAATATCTCCAACATGTGTTCTGAGATTCTTTCTTACCCTAAATCAGAATTATCAGCTCAGCTCATAAGCCAAAAATAAAAAGAATTAAGATGCCTCACTGATAAAAGGAAAGAAATATGAATTGCAGGCTTGTTCCTAAAATGTATTTTGATCATAACCGCTTACCAAAGAGATATGAGCAAGCCTGCCAACTGCCTAGAACCCATACGTTCAAAAGTTCTTCCTTCTTCTAGGGCCTTTCCTATATTATCAAGCCACCAGTGCCCAACAGAGCTCCCTTCAAGCCCTACCTACAAAGGGAAAAAAACAATAAATAAATAAATCCACACCATCAACAGAGCTCCCATAATCAAGCAGTACACAGCATGATCAATAAAGGAAGTCATATGATCTTACAGTTTCTTTTGCTGCAGACATTGCAAGAAAGCCTGCACCCATTTCTACTTCTTGCAACCCAACAACTACAATGCCAACATCTGGCACAACAGAACCCAACCATGACTTTAAAGAATCCTGAGATGCTCTTCCTTGACCAACATTCCATGTGCCAATTAAAATTCTAACATTGTCTGTTCTGGTATATACATGTTCTTTCGCAGCTAATTCTGAACGTACCAAGTTGTCCGCAGGTCCTGGAGATTTGATGTTCCACCCACGTATGCCACCATGAGTAGCCAAGCTAAAAACAGAACCAGTTCCAGCTGCTAATTTGATCACAGGACTGCTGTGTGCAATCCATCCTGCAATTAGATTTCCCTCAAGATCCAATACCTGCATCATGCCACTCACATAGCCTACATATATTTGTGTCCCCAAAGTGCAAAAGCATTGGACGCTACAAGGATGGTGGTTAAAATCTTGCACACGGTTTCCATTTCCATCCCACTGCACCAGTAAACCATTTGTGCATCCACTCCATATCATGCCATCTGCGGTTAGCACGAGTGCCTCTATCTTCTTGGCATCTTCTACAAATGCCCCTGCCCCTCTGGTTGCAACTCGACGAACAGCATCTGCAGCTCCCATTATAGCATTACGCGACCGTTGCAAAAAGCCCCCGGATTTTTCCTTTTTTGATGTGGAAACAAATTTTACCTTCATCTCATCTTCTACTGCTTGATCTTGCTGCACTGATGACATATCAACTCGATTCTCAGTCTGACCATCTATATTAAAGACTTTCACAAGCTCTCTTGTACGAGCATCCCTGACAAATAAAACATATTTTAGAATAAAATTCAAATGCAAATTATACTTAGAGAAATATTTTACCAAGACAAGGTCTTGAATTGAAAACTAACCACAAAGAGAAGGACATAGACCCAGCACACCAAACTTTAGCTCTAAAATTATCCGATACCAAACACTTTACATCTTGAGAAGATATACTACAAACACCATTGACGGTAACTTGGCTCCTGAGGTCAATGCATGACCTCTCCACCAGTAAAGCTGCCATATGTCTTTCCTCTGGTTTAAGAGAGAGAGATTTTTCAATGGATTCCCAGGGCCAGATCTTAATAACACCACCCTCAGAACCTGACCACATATCACCTGCATCAAAGAAACATACATGATATCAGAGGTTAATTAACTATCACATTGGAAAGAGTGAGAAGTTGTGTTATTACACAAAGAAAGAATTCTTCTCTATCTTGAATAAACTAGTTCGTTAACCTCAGGAACGTTTTGTAATAAAATCCCTATTAGTAATTTTCATATTTAACCTATTAATTAAAAAGTAAAACACCAAACAACATACAAGCACAGTACCAGTACTAGAGTGAGTAAGTAGTGAGTGGCTGACTGACCGTAAGAAGTGAAAACCATGGCAAGAACCGGAGCGCGGTGGGCCTGCCATGAAAGACCTTCCTTAAAAGGAGTAGAAGAATCCAAA